CTTAGCAATGTACATAATACTGACAATTCCACAGGTCACACATTCGCTACTTCTATACCTCAGTCACCTCTATGATGGATTCTGTCCATTTGGTGTTTGTATAATAATAATAATAATAAAGTCTTTATTCATCAAGAGATAAAAATACATATCTTTTGTTACAAGTAAGTGTAAGAAATTTAAAAAGTTAAAAAGTAAGAAATAAAAAAATATATACCGGTATGTATATCTAGTATATTACATAGCTAATTCATATTTAAAAACTAAACGATTAATAAAAGAGTTTTTAAAGCGCATAGTGTTAATCTTAGGTTTAAAACTAGTTTCTTTTCTAAGATTGTAGCTGGAGGGTTTAACACGAGGCATAATAGATAAAAGTGGATGTCCTTTGGCATTAAAAACTTTTTTGAAAATTTTACGGTCTTGCCTCTCTAAGAAATCCTAAACACTTACAGGCTTAGACGTATATTTCCTTTTAAAACAGCGGTCTAAGAAACATTGTACGGGTGTAAGATCGGACTCGGACGCGGCGTAGACAGATAATGCGTAATTAATATTAGGTAGAACTATAGTATTAAAGAGAAGGTCTATTTCTGACTGATTGTACCCTTCTTTGCGCAGCGTTCTAAGGATATGTAGGGATTTGTTAGCTGTATGAACATTTTTAAGAATTAAATATAAGTATTTAATGAAAGGAGACTGATAGAGCAAAAACATAAAACTCATTTGATTATGGCAATTTCACGTTATCAAAGGTTTAAAGTTAAGTTGCAGCCTATGTTTCAAAGGGCTTCTTGTGCCGAGCTGAGTGAATTCAACTAACGTTGGCCTCAAAATCTCTCTCGTCTGTTTCACAGATTTGAACTTCTCAGTTTGGAAGTGTACTTTATGTAGTGCCATCCCAGTTTTTTTTGAACGCTGATATGGCATACTTTTCCCAAAATTTTAAACTCAAAGTTAAGAATTAGTTAATTCAAGATTATCTAAAAATCGTCAGGAAAACAAAAAGACCTGCTTTTTCCAAGGTGGAGCAAAGCCTAATCGAAGCCCACGATCTCAAATTTCACTTTATTTCCTTTTTACCCGTCTCTAGTCAAGGACACTTTAAGGTAGTATCTATGAACAGTAACGTAAGATTTAGTCATCCAGACCTTAACAGAGGATTCTATAAATACAAAAAAAACTGTTGGATTTGGAAGTATTCTCTGTAGTTATTTCTTAATTAATGAATTATATGTCTCTATAACTTGACTGTATAACCTATAGAAAGAAATATAAAAAAAGGGGTGTGTGAAGTAGACGATATCTTGGTAACAATTCCCCTTCAAGTTGCAAGAAGTATTTTCTTTACCTTTTATAGGAGGCAATCTTTGCCAAAAGTTATAACACAACGCCACACGTCTTGGTTTCTGCTTCTCACTCAACAAAAGGAGGGAATCAAAGTCCAGTTCATAACAGCATAGCTGCCTGGGTAGAGGTTGGTAACTAGTGATGTCAGGATATCAAATTTCATATTAAATTAAGAGTAGTATAGTAGAGAACTAATTAACCTTTTTTTGCTGACGAATCTCGTTATTCTGCTGAGGAATACATAAACACCCGATGATGTTATGACCTTTTGTCTTTATTCCTTGAATAGTAACCGGTGAATAATCGTAATAATAATAATAATAATAATAATAATAATAATAATAATGATAATAATAATAATTATATTCATAATCATAATTATAACATATTTAACCAGGGTAAACCTGTCAGTGCAAGCTGTTATAGATGGGGAGAACGATACCAATTTCAGCACTGAAAAATACAGGCAACTACAACAAATAAAGATAAAAATAAGTAGTTAAGGCGGTGTACTGGTGCTTTGGCACCAGTGAAAAAAGTGCCTTTCTTAGCAGATTCTGCGCGTACTGTAGAAATTGAAGTTTCTAAATATAGGTGGAATCTCATTAACATAGGTCGTGTGCCATTTTAAGGTGGTTTAACCGGTTTTACACTGTGGCTTTCTAGAACTTGATAGAGAAACAAATGCGTTACTTTTTGATTGGTTGACTAAAAAAAAGTAAAGTATTCATTTGTTGATTGATGCTGTCAAAGTAATAAGCGCTAGCTCCCCTTTCACATGAAATCGCTGGGTAAGTATCCAGTTCTGCTGCTTTCATTGACCAACAATTTTTTTCCAGTTTTGATTCTTGGCGAGCACATCGTGCATATTGATGAGTTCGAAGACAAACTAGCTCTTTCTAATAACAAACCGAATTGTTAACTTACCCGAGTCCCCCTTCTCCTTCTCCACAATTCAGTTTTTTCGCTTCACCTTCCTTTTTTGATTTTCCTTTCAGCACGAAAACCACCACCACAGCCTCCACAACCACATTTTCATTGTTTTTCCGGTCCTCCTCCACCACCACACTACTATTGTTTTCTCACCACCACCACCTTTCTGTTGTTTTCCCTCTTCCTCCACTACCACCACTGCCACCACCAAGTCTGAAGTGTTTTTCCGCCTTCACCTCCCCATTTCTATTGCATTTCCATTGTTTTCCCTACTGCACCACCACATTCCAATGCGTATTTCCACCACCACCACCACATTCCAATGCACATTTTAGTACTAATGTTTAGTGCTTTTACATACAGTATATTAGCAGGAAAGGCTTTCGGGTTTGTGTCAAAGAACTGTATGAGGCAAAATACGACCCACTCTTCATATCCTACATAGTTTTGTCAGGTAAGAACTTTACTGCTTAAAAGAGGAGATTTTTTACGGTATATCTTTCAATATTGTCTCTTATTTGTGACTTAATGCCGTGATTTATACGCACAGATATCTGTCCAGATGGATGGGATTACTTCAATGGATACTGCTATTTAACGAGCTCTGTATGCGCACCTTGGGTGACTGCAGTGTCCAACTGTTCAATGATGAACTCACATCTGGTAACAGTGCACAACCAAGAGGAAAATGTCTACATACAGCACCGTCACAATGGCGAGCGATCATGGATTGGCCTTAATGACCGAAGCGTCGAGGGAACGTTTGTGTGGACAAACAAGGAAATAATCAGTTTTCAGTTCTGGGCTCCGCAACAACCAAACAACTTGAAAAACGAAGACTAAGTCCACGCCCTTGGTGCAGAGTATGGCTACACTTGGAACGACGTGTCATGTGATAAATGCTATAACTATACTTGTGTTAAAGGCAAGTTTTGAGTTACCATAGAAATACTACAAATCCAAACCTTTGTCACCAATAACGAGGTTTGAAGATCACTTCTGCAGTAGTGAGCTTTTATGATTATTTCGTCGCCATGTTGTTGATCAGAATTTTATTAAGTCTGCATTTATGTAGCCGCCTTCCAGGCAGTAGTCTAAATATTTAGGTAAAGGTAACCCCCGTACTTATCACTCTCAGTTACTCCAAAAAAAAATTTCTCATGCGAATGATAATACTGCTACCAAGTAAGATCACGGTGATTAAATGGTCTTCATTGACTTTTGTTGTCTACTGCAGACATTGACGAATGCATCAGCAGTTATCACAGGTGTGATCCAAACGCTGCTTGTCAGAATACCGTGGGCTCATACATTTGCACCTGCAAAGTTGGATTCTATGGAAATGGAAAAAAGTGCTTTGGTAACTATCCCAATCCTTTTTTATGTTTTCCCGACCTTTGCATTCTGGTTGGCTGTTGAGTTAACATATTTGCCTTTTAAGGTAACTAAGGTACTATATTCTTATCCAATATGTATGGATCAGAACTTACCAATAAACTAAAAACTAACTAAGAATTACAATGGGCATTCACGGTCTTCGTTTTGACAATTAATTAGGCACATAGAATATCTGATAATAGCACGTTCAGTGTCCTATCGACTCCTTCTGGGCTCAGGTTTGACATTTAATGTTATATATCATCTAATTGACTGGTACTCTGCGACATGTATAACGTATTCTACAGACTACTCTGAACGTCTTTCTTTAGAAACCTGGTTTACTAACTTATAACAAACGCCACTGAATCGTAGCCAACAGTTGCCAGCGCCGTACAAACGACTTATTGACGAGATCAAGCAAAACTAACTACGAGAGAACGACTGGAGAACTGACAATTTGACAAACAATAGACGACTCTTTAACTGTGACAATAGACGGATCGAAACGCACCAATTACTTATTACGAGCCTTCATAGGCAATAACATCACGGCTTAACTGACATACGACCAATAACATTGCGACGTAATTGACGAATCAGATCAATAACCAGAGTATAATACCATCAACTGACGTGATACAACTCACTTTGACTCTGAAGATGACTACTGCACAGGTTGTCGAAACGTCAGTCACTGTCAACAACAACAGTCCTATTCAGGACTACGTTCACTCGGACGATCAAACTCAACCTACTTTTGATATATTTTTCTGTTCAGCCTGTCCATCAGTTGTTTTAAAGTTATCATACATTGCCATACGTCAAAACAAAGTAATAAAAAATTACCAGCGCTAGCACATAATTTACTTAGTCAGGATTCACTGACTACTCAGATTATCATTTGTTTTCTCCGTCATTAGATATTGATGAATGCGGCAACAAAACCCATACCTGTGATGTGAATGCAGTTTGTAGCAACACTCAAGGGTCTCACAACTGCACCTGCAAACCTGGATACTCTGGAGATGGAAAGAAATGCATTGCAGTTGGTATGCAGCATCCCTATAGAATGCCTATGATATTGTCTATAATTATTTAATTTTATGTTGTTTAGTACGGAAAGCTGGTCCAGTTTACGAATATTTTACCCAAATATAGACAGTTTAGCCTAATTTGGTAGGTGTTTAGCGCCATTATTCCGAACTTGAATTTCTTACACAGTTTCTTACACAGTGTCATGCTTGCAATATAGTGTATTAAGAGCAGATGTTATTGTTGACTTTATAAGTTGTAAAGTAGCCATATCCTGCCAAATGTAGAATTAACACGCAGTGCTAATGTCATGTCTTCCAGTTTATTATAAGAACTGTGCTGAACTGTACAAAGCTGGAAAACGAACAAGTGGAGTTTACAAGATCGACCCAGACGGTGCTGGTGTCTTTGACGTGTACTGTGACCAAACAACAGCCGGTGGGGGCTGGACAGTGTTCCAAAAGAGACTGGATGGCTCGGTTAATTTCTACCGCGGCTGGAACGACTACAAAAAAGGGTTCGGAAATCTGAATGGCGAGTTTTGGCTCGGACTGGGCAAAATTCACCGCCTGACAAAAACTAAAAGCAAACTTCGAGTGGATCTCGAGGACTTCAACAGAAACACAGTTTATGCTGAGTACAACTACTTTGCTATAACAGACGAGAGAAGCAAATACACGCTGAGTCTCGGACGTTACTCCGGTAATTACATTACTAGCCTCCCACGCAGACGTTCTTAGGGGTTCGTCACGCGTTCCTGCACCACAAAGCGTCTGCTGAATCGAGCGGTAAAAACCGTAAGTGCCCTTTGGACCTTGAGAAATTTCGCGCGAGACTCTGCTCCAGAAAAGATCAGAAAGGTCTCGAAAGGTGAAGACCTAATACACTTTATGTATTTTCTCGCATTTGGGAATTCACTCGGTGTTTGCAGTCTAGTATTTGGGTGTAACATCATAGCATGCTTCTGCATGCTGTTATTTGTGTTACCGTATATAAGGCGTACGTTGCAGGACAAGGTCACTCGACGGCATCTCTCTCTTCGCAATTTGTACGTTTTGCTATATTTTTCTTTCGCGGCTTTTGTTCGTTTCCGCCTTGTGCTTTATTCCTTTTCTTATATTTACTGGTTTGTGCTTATTGTCACAATTTTTTAATGAAGTTGTTTGTTTAGTGTGTTTCAGATATTTTTTCTATAAGCCTTTTTCTTTTTCTTAATTCACGTTTAATTTTTTCACGTATCTCTGTAATAGTTCAATGTACAGTTTTGGTTGTAGTTTATTATATTTAGTTCGTTATAGTTTTATTCTGATAGTGTCAGCTATTAAGTTAAAATTCAAGTCACTCGAATTGTATGCGACTTCTTTGTAATTTTAGGTTATTAAACTGAATCACACTGTTCTGCCGCCCGCTTTGATAGTTTTGCTATCTCATAAACAAAATGCCTATTCCTGATTTTGTCTGCGTTGTTGTACATAAGTGTGAAAATAATTTGTTCTCGTTTCAGTTAACTCACACGCCTTCGTCCTCGAGACTACCCTCACGATCTCGTTGAAAACATTGCCTCAGAGGTTTCATTTGCTGAACAGAAGTCAGCTTTACTACTAAACAATAAAGTGCGAAAAAAATTATCCCTTTTGTTCAGTTAAAACGTAAAACTCCACCGTTGTGTCACCCACAGAACAACTTGATGATCAAATGACATCTAATCCAGCCTTTACAAAGGGAAACATACAAAACGCTCACGCTTATCTTCTAAATATTCTTGTCCGGAGCTAAACTCTTGGGTCACGTATCACACTCTTCCGAGCTTGTACATATCTATGTGTCTGGCTTGTCAAACTTTGACTTCAACAGACCCGATTGGTTCTCCGATAATCTGGACGTGAGCTCCAACTGGTATTTGCAAACAATGGGAAAAGAATTTAACCACTCGACTCAGCAGACGTTCGTGGGGCAGGAACCGGAGTGACGAACCTCTAAGAAAGTCGGCGTGGAAGGCTTTTATATTACTTACTTGATTAAGGTGGCTCAACTGGATTTTGTTGGGGGGATACCTCCCAAGTTTGAGTATTAACTACGTCGGCATGAGTAAAGATATGGGAAAAAGATTACACAACTGTATTATATTAAGATTATATTTATTGCAATCGGAGTCACCATGGCAACGTAATGACGCCATTACGCTTTTTATTCATATTTGTGTTTCTCTGTACCAGGAGTTTTTTTTTGAAGAAATCGCTTAGGGGAGTATGTACTTACCATAATTGTCTCCATTATGGCAAAGTTTAAACAAATTCTATGAGAGCGTTTTTGAAATATTTTGACACGCAGTTTTAACAATCATAAAAACAGTGAAATAGCATGCTATCCACACAATTCGCTAATATTTTAAGACAATGATAAGCTTTGGAAACGCGGCTTCATCCCATAGTGGTTTGATTCCATTGAAAACTGCATACAAAAAAAGAGCGGAATTGCTCTGGGCGATCGCGAGCAAGAAGAATTTTATTAACTTGCATTAAGCTGCTTTTGTTACAGTTTTGGACGTAATTTGGTCCATGCCTACAAATTTCGCATTTTTCAAAAAACTGCTCGATAAATTTTTTTATAAATTCGACAATCTCGAGATCAATTGTCAATAAATATTCCCTGCAAGTTTCAAGAAGATTGAAAGCAGGGAGGGCTTTTAAATTGGGCCTCAAATATAACCAATTTTTCCCCCAGATTTTGTGTTTACAAGTGAGCCTCCTCATTATTCACAAGCATTGTTTTCAAGTTTCATATACACGTGCACATTTAGCAAAAACATAGAATTTGCATCAAAAAGGACCGTCGCTTAAATCTCCGGAATATGCTAATTACCGGGTAAAGAGATTATAGTGATACATTATAACATCAGAGCAATTCTTTGTAACAGTTTCTGTGATGTTATAACCCGAGTAAGACAATTAAATATTGTATCCTACACGATGAGCGGTGACGTTCACCGTTTCGGCTCTCACTGCTATCGGTGACACAAGCCAATATTAGCATATTCCGGATATTTCTTCGGAAAGTAATCGAGTTGAATTAAGAGGACGCTCACTTATAAACACAAAATCGGGGGGAAACATTGGCTATATTTGAGGTCCCATTTAAAAGCCTTCCCTGTTTTCAGTGTTCTTGAAACTTGCAGGGAATATTTATTAACAATTGATCTCGAGATTGTCGAATTTATAAAAAAATTTATCGAGTGGTTTTTTGAAAAATGCGAAATTTGTAGGCATGGACCAAATTACGTTCAAAACATGTAACAAAAGCAGCTGAATGCAAGTTAATAAAATACTTCTTGCTCGCGATCGCCCAGAGCAATTCCGCTCTTTTTTTGTATGCAGTTTTCAATGGAATCAAACTACTATGGGATGAAGCCGCGTTTCCAAAGCTTATCATTGTCTTAAAATATTAGCGAATTGTGTGGATAGCATGCTATTTCACTGTTTTTATGATTGTTAAAACTGCGTGTAAAAATATTTCGAAAACGCTCTCATAGAATTTGTTTAAACTTTGCCATAATGGAGACAATTATAGTAGTTACATACTCCCCTAAGTGATTTCTTCAAAAAACTCCTGGTACAGAGAAACACAAAGATAAATAAAAGGCGTAATGGCGTCATTACGTTGCCATGGCGACTCCGATTGCAATAAAACCCAGATCATAAGAAATTTTCATCTTAATATAATACAGTTGTGGTAATCTTTTTCCCATATCTTTACTCATGCCGACGTAGTTAATGCTCAAACTTGGGAGGTATGCCCCCCAAAAAATTCAGTCGAGCCACCTTAAACATAAGCACGTTAAACGGGCATGAGCTATTTTGAATGCTTCAGTGTAACCTTACCTAGAGTGATGAATCTACCTTTTTCGTCCTAAATGTAGACTGGGTTTTTGTGCGAAATTGGGTATTACCGTACATAAATGAAAACGCGAAACGCTCAGTTGCGTCGATCCTCATGCTATATATTCACTTTCCTCTGTCTTTCCCTATTACATTTGGGGCAAGTTAAACAAATTGTTAAAGTAAAATAAATCTCTACTCACCAAACGTTGATTAGAAGGAAAACTCTAAAGTTTCCCCGGAGTTTCTTAAGCCAAAATGTGACTCGTCGAATTCGAGTTGTTAAGGAATACCAGGAGTTTTATCATTGTGGTAGATGGTTGCATCATCACAATTCATGAGGTTTTCACGTGCGATTCTACTCAGTGAAACAGTCTTTAACTCCGACAACTTATTTCTTCATGTTTTAAAAGCTAGTGCTTCTTAAAAAGACAAGAGCCTTTTTTGGGGGGTTCGAGGTAACAGCTGAGTGAAAACGACTGATATGAACACAATATAAAGGGAAAAAATCTTTTTTTATGCACGATACTCTACGGTAGCCAATTTACACGTTACGGATGTTAGAGTCAACAAAATAATGTCTCAAGAAAAGACCTAAAAAAAAAAGCTGGCCGACTTTTGTGTTCACCGCAAGTTCATTTTGTTTTCTTTCTATCGGGCCCAGTTATGTGTAAATTAAACTTTGAATAAACTTATGCATAACTGTACATGATAAAAACGTTACCATAAGTTACCATTGCTTTCTTCTTGTCGATGAATTGCTCACAAATGCTTAGGGGTTCATTTACTGAAAAATATGCGATACACTTCGTAGACTACAGATTATAAACGTTACAACAACTTAGCTACGAGTCTGTCGGTAGAAGAAACGAGAACTCTTATATTTAACAAATGTTTTCGGTAAAACTGAAAGAAAATGTAGATAGGCGCATGAAACTTCATTCAAGCGGTATTCAAGGCGTGAATTTAATGTGGAAACAAGTAATAATCCACAGAAAGGAGGCTGTTCCTCGAAGCAAGATTCTCGCTTAATGCTTTTCTTTTTACAACTTAGACGGCAACACAGAGTGTTCAATATACCTTCTTGTTCTCTTCACCTGAATGGCAACCAGGACAACCTGACAATAGGAAGCCATTCAATGTGCGTCTCAGTCAAATCTTGAAAACATGCATCGTAACTAAGTGAGTAAGTAGGTAAGGAAATAATAACGCCCGATATCATGAAGCTGAAAAAGAAAGTAAACCAGACACTGAAAACGGTAAGTTTTCAACTCCACCAGAGCTAAGAAAAGACAATAAATTAGGTTAGTAATTCCAGATTCCAGGTACTGGATTCAAGTCTTTGTCAGTAGAACCAAGAGACTATGATCTATTCTCTCTTGGTAGAACTTGGATTCCGGATTTCAATCGTTAGTGGGAACAAACTCCTTTCTACGGACAAGAGAGGATAAAGCGCGAGCTTTATCCCCTCTTGCTGTGGATTATTACTTATTTCTATATTAAATTCATGCCTTCACGAATACCTGCTTGAATGTACTTTACTGGCACTTCAAGCCCAACGTCTCTCCTCCTCTTTCCAGTTACTTGTGCAAAGAGTTTATTTTGGGAGTTTGCGACCAGGACGTTTTTCAACAAGCGTTTTCTTTATTTTTGCCGAAAACATTTGTTAAAATTGAAACAGTTCTCGTTTCTTCTACCGACAGACTCGTAGCTGTTCAAGCCCGAGTTAGCCTTTTTTAAAAAAGGTTTTAAGTTGTTGTAACGTTTATGATTTATAGTCTATGAAGTGTATCGCACATTTTTCAGTGAATGCACCCCTAAGCATTTGTGAGCAATTCATAGACAAGAAGAAAACAATGGTAACTCATGGTAACATTTTTTATCATATACTGTTATGCAACTGGGCCCGATAGAAAGAAAACAAAATGAACTTGCGGTGAACACAAAAGTCGGCCAGCTTTTTCTTTTAGGTCTTTTCTTGAGACATTATTTTGTTGACTCTAACATCCGTAACCTGTAAATTGGCTACCGTAGAGTATCATGCATAAAAACGATTTTTTTCCCTTTATATTGTGTTCATATCAGTCGTTTTCACTCAGCTGTTACCTTGAACCCCAAATCATTTTCCCCTGCCGCGACATTGGACCCGCGACCGCGACTTTGGACCCGCGACTATTAGTCAAACTCTAAACAGAATTATAAAAATAACCCATGCACACAATTTGCACGTGAAGATGTTGGTCTTTGGCCCTTTTACCATTCGTACGTAAAAAAAAAAAAACGCAAATTGTTTACTACAAAATTTCTCAAACGATTTTAAGAAATCACCTCGGCTTCATTACAATATCTGCAATTAAATTATGTTTCATGCGACGTCAAGGTTGATTGCCTAACGTTTATTAACTTCCAAGAAAATTATCAAACTGCCGAAATATATTTCTGCTCAAATCATGCTACTCCACTCAATAAAACAGTATCTAATCATTGTGTAAACTAGCTTCTTCCAATTTTATTCCCTAACGCTACTGTTTGAACTTACGTTACTCATCTTTACTAAATAAAATACGTTTCAATAACTATAATGCTTAGTACGCAGGAAGGATGTCTCATGTTCTTCACTTATTATTATTCTTTTTTTTTTGTTTTACCGGAACTAAAAAGGTCTGTCGAACTTTGTAAGCGAGAGAATAATATTTTTAAAGCTTGTCTACAGGACTAACAATACTCGGTACAGCTTTTTTTTATACTCTACCTTGAAGCAGGTGAAACACAACTCAAAAATACGTGCGTCAGTACCGTTGGCGATAGCCGAATTCGGTCAGAAATGTCTTGAAATAGCACCCTCACTAAAGTATGAACCCTTAAACAGCTGCATCACTGTACACAGCGTTTGAATCATGAAGATATTTAATATAATGTTTCCAAACACCTGTAGCCGAAATAAAAGACGAAAAAATTGTGAAGAATCAAGATGGCGATCTCAAAGTTCCCTTGTGCGACCTTTAGCAATCTCATGTTTAAGTAGATGCCAAGACCTCATTGGTTCCTAAGCATCAACGCATAGTACCTTCAACCTTATTGGCTCTTGCAACAAACATCCGAACATACAAAGATACAAAGATACAAAGCCACAAAGATACATACGCTCACACCACTGACATATGAGCTATTTTTTCATAATAGCTCAAAAATAGAGTTCGGGGCAACGTCTTATAAAGACCCAAGTTAATGCTAATGATTTTGACGTTTAAGAAATAAAGACTCACCACAGAGATACAACTAGTCCCACATACAGTGAAGTATGCAATAATCACACAGATATCATAAAATTAGAGGAATTAAAGCAAATTAATATAATATGGAGCGTTAGAGTGATTTTACTTCGACCATGAAACGGATTCAATGCTTCCCGCTGTTTTTAGATATCAATCATCGTAAAATCACAGTTATGTGGAGATGCATTCAAGGAAATATCATTTCTTCCAATCTCATTTTCCAGGAAATGCTGGTGACTCGCTGGCTCGTCAGAGAGGCCACCCTTTCTCCACTAAAGATCGAGACAATGACGTCTGGTCTGATAACTGTGCTGCACGCTTTAAGGGGTCCTGGTGGTACGATGACTGTCATCATTCCAACCTGAACGGCCTCTATCATCGCGGTAGACACTCTTCATTTGCTGACGGAGTGAACTGGTATTACTGGAAGGGACATTACTACTCCGTTAAACGAGCTGAGATGAAACTCAAACCAGTCAACTTCTAAACAAGCAAATAGCGGTTGTCAGTGCTTATATCTCAGGGGCACCCAACGAGAGTATAGCTCAAAACCACTTAAACATAGCATTGTTAAACGTATTTTAGTATTTAAACGGTAGATATAGGCATATTTTTATCCCCTAAAAATTTTTCATCTGTTCGGATTTCCTAGCTGAAAGTCTAGTGATCCGAAAATTATAGGGATCAAAACTTACCGCTTTTCGAAAATTGCAGCCAGGAAAAAGGTTCCCGAAAATTCTACGTGACCTTTTTAGAGTAAAAATCCGTTAAAAATGGACAATTATACCATTTTTAGATGTTCGAAAATCCTAGGAGGGGCAGGCAAGCAAGAAGTTTTACAACAAATGTTCCGAAAATGCCAGATCTCAAATCGTCTTCCGAACAGATATTTTCCGATAACTGACGTTGCGTGCCCCTGATATCTGCTTTTGCAATGATCGTTTAAATAACTTAGCTTTAAGGTGACTCGACCCAGTTTTTTGAGGGGTGTACCATCCTACTTTGAAGCTCTCTGGTATCCCGACCTTTACTTTTATGGTAAGTCTAACACATAGAATGGATAACATATAGATCAATCTACAATATAACATAAAATTTTTGGCGACCGGAGTAAATGTCACGTGGTTATAATGCCACGCCCCTTTGGGGTCTGAGTCGAAAATCTGCTGTTGCCGGCATTTTTTCCTGAAAATCTCTCGGCTACTCATAGTGCGCATTAGTGCCTTGCGCTGAACAGAGTTTCACCAAAATCGCGAAGACCCAATTCGAGAAATTCAGCGGTTTCCAAATCTAGGTCATAATTTATGCGAAAATGATAAGCAAACTACACGGATTATATCTAATCAACTATGAGATTCATCTCTTTATTTTGGGCATCGTTATAACAGATGGGTACTTGCGAGTCAGCAAAACACTTCAGGGTCTTGTAAATGCGAGCGATTTCGAGCAAAGCAAACATATAGAAATTATAGTTTTCGCTATTTGTTGACGTTTGTCAGCGTTTAAGAGTCCTTCTCACGAAAAAAGCATCTTCTTAAAAATTCGTATTTTTTTTTCCTTCAATTTTTTTCAGGGCCACAATTGATTAACGAACTATCCGGACTCTGAATTTCATGGTCATTGAAAAACTGTGACATTATCTTCTATAAGCCCAAACTTGAGTAAACATTGAAGATTTTTAGCGTTACGAATTTTTAAGAAAATGCTTTTTTCGTGAGAAGGACTCTGACAAACGTCAACAAATAGCGAAAACCATAATTTCTATATATTTGCTTTGCTCGAAATCGCGCGCATTTACAAGGCCCTAAAGCGTTTTGCCGACTTGCAAGGACCAATCTGTTATAACGATGCCCAATACGATGCCCAATACCTAGATTTGGAAACCGCTGAATTTCTCGAATTGGGTCTTTGCGATTTTGGTGAAACTCTGTTCAGGGCAAGGCACTAATGCGCACTATGTGTAGCCGAGAGATTTTCACAAAAAAATGCCGGCAACAGCAGATTTTCGACTCAGACCTCAAAGGGGCGTGGCATTATAACCACGTGACATTTACTCCGATCCCCAAAAATTTTATGTTATATTGTAGATTAATCTATATGTTATCCATTCTATGTGTTAGACTTACCATAAAAGTAAAGGTGGGGATACCAGAGAGCTTCAAAGTAGGATGGTACACCCCCAAAAAAACTGGGTCGAGTCACCTTAATACATTTTGTTAGACTGCCACAGAAATGATAAATTAAGCATAACAAACTATTGTCACAGATTTGATTTAAAAAAAGCTATAAAATAAAAGATGTTGCTATTGGCTTTCGCAATTTACGATATTGTTTCTCATTTATACTGACTTCCTTCTGTCCTACTCGTCTTTCTTCTTCCGATTCACTGAACTTTATGGTCTTTTAATACTTGGCTCAGTCAAATCCAAGCGTGCCCATCCCCCCCCGGGGCATTTGTCAATTCTTCTAGAAACGGTTAACATTGTTTCTTTGTCAATATTTCACTTTAAAGTATGCCTATTTTGATAGCTATTGATATTTTTATAAAGAATATTTTCCCTTCAAAAGAAAACAAGCGAAATTCAACTAAAAGAAGTAACTGAAGAACAATTAAGACTGGAGTAGGTCGCTGATAAGCCGCTTTGTTTGTTTTTTGTTTTTTTTATCTTAGTAAAATCCAACTCATGGTCTATTAAACAATTATTCCTCGAGCCCGAATGGCCTCTGAGTCAATAACCCATTCGGGCTCCTGGAATAATTGTTAAATGGAACGTATTAGCCCACGTTCGATGAAGAATAATTCTAGCATGAATCCGAGGCTTTCTGGTTACATTTCTATATAACTGATATCAACTTTGGTTTTCTTTGTGCTCAAGTCTCTTATGGAAATTGCGAGAGAATGGAGTCGTGAAATATTTGCAATTTTTGTCCGTACGCTAGGTATCGAACGCTGCTGCTTGTGCCAGTCTCTCCTAAGTGCTGAATTCTCAAGATGGCGTCGCTTTGTTATTTCACTTGCGGCTAAATGCAGGAATCGACCCGACTTCTGATTAGTCGAGATGAAACTTGTTAGTCTATGTAATCTTCAATAAAGTGTAGCCTAGTAAGCATGTGACCCGGGTATGGAAAAGTGACCATTCCTGTCGCCAAACTCTCTATGCGATCGACTCTCCAGCCCACGATGTATGGACGTCCAATTTACTCTAGGGAGCCACCTTAATGGCTATGATATATGTTTCGATGCAGCCAACCCCATCACTGGAAAAGGTATCCAGTTACGGTCTCCTACCCCGATTTATATATATTTCAGCTCCCGGTAGAGTACAAAAACGTTATTTTGAACCTTTCTTCAGTATTCAAGTTATACACGTAATTACAAACTTGGGTGTTGGATATGATCTGTTCATGAAATAGTTACGTACCAAACCTTTTTTAGCTACCCATATAGGTTGCAATATGTTACATATGTCAATATAGGAATTTGGAAAAGTAGTATAGGGCGCACCGAATTAACCTCTTTTTTGGGGGGGAATCTCATTAAGGTGGGGGGGGAATAAATTAACGTCGCTGACGTCGTAGGCTATTGTCCTTATCTCATGAATAAAATGCGCAGGAATCTCATAAAGATAAGGTCATGTGCTATTTTTATTTTGTGGCGGTCATGGTTGGTATAACCGGTTTGACAGGTTTTAGTTATTTTCGGAAGATGGTGTCATATGTATTCCGGGGTACTATGATGTCATAGTTGTTTTGATTGGTTGACCAGAATTAGAAAGACGCTCATTGGCTGTCTCGTTTGACGAAGCATTCTGGTTGGTTGCCGTATTTTTATTGTTTGAAAGGCATAAAAGTGCGCTCACATTCCACACACATCATTCACAAACTGTGAGATTCAGATCAGTAGCAGTCATGGCTTTTAACCAGTTCACCACGTTGGAAGAGTTTGAAAATTGTATTTGACGCAACGAGATACCAAGTGATCAGATTTTGGATCGAATGATGACCTTTTCTGAAGAGGTAAGTTGTCAACGTTTGAATGTCATTGAGTGATAATTTCTTTTAGTAACATGTAGTTCCATTCCAGGATCAGTCTTCCAACATTCCCTTGGAGGATTCCATTATTCCACCCGAAGTGATGGACCCATGGAGCGATTGGGAGAAAGAATTTGAAACGGTATGAGTCCTTATTGAAATGTTATATCATAACTATTGTCCGTCGTACTAATTCAATTTCTGTTGTTGAAATTATTATTCCATTACACTTTTTCAGGAACCTTCTTCCAACCAAGTTCAGAGCGGCATGGGTAGGAAAAGAGCAGCACAGGTAAGTGTTTTAGTAAGTACTTTATTTCTCTAGCTTGTCAAGGTAGTTAATATACGATTCATTTGATTTTTTAGGATGATGTAGACATACCTCCTGCCAAAAGTGCTCGCCATGCATGTGAAGCGTGTGGAAAAGTTTTCACTCGACCAGATAAATTAAAACGCCACGAAAAAACACATACCAACGAAAAACAACATCAGTGTGATAAGTGCGACAAGAGCTTTCATCGAATGTCACACTTGCAGCGCCACGTGAAACAAGTTCATGAACGCCGAGCGGCTCAGCGGGAGTATAAGTGTAGTACCTGTGGAGAGACATTTTAAAATCTGGCTCCATTCCGAGCGCACCAGCAAACAGCTCATAGTAAACTCTCTTTAAGTAAGAAACGTCCAAGGGACGAGGAAACAGGTAGGAAGCAGTGAACTTTTCTGTTGTATTTCAGTAAGATAAAATTATATTTTGTGTGAAGGATTAGTCGTAGGTAACTTTTTACTTGCTTCTTGCAACACAATAGAGGCTATGGCATGTTTGAACATGTCTTTTGTTTGAAAGCTGCACCGTATGCAAATTTGAGGAGAAGGCAGTGGAGTGGAACAATTGGATTAGTCGTATGCAAATTTAAGCCGTGGGATGTTAAAACAATAGAAGTCTTTGGTTTGCCTTTGTACAGAGGCTTAGCACATCATATTTTAGACATGATGGAACAAAACTTTTGTTCAGAGAGTGAATCCTACACAAATGTTAGGTAAAAGCAATGAAGTGGAAAAAATTGGATTAGTCGTATGCTAATTTGAGTATGTTAAACAATACATTGTATAAACAACTCTTTTGTGTTTCTGGATACCTCGTTTGGATTTGGGAATAGACATTGGAATTTTTATTTCCCATTTAGAGCCAAAACCCAAGAAAATGAAGCCCAATCCTATCGAGAAAAAAGCAACTTCAAGTTCCAGCTGGCAGGAAGATCCAAGAACCGTGACTGACTTATCTGAAGTCCAACAAAGTTCTGTTCTCGAGTACCGCCGCCACTGGCATCAAATCCGCACTCGTTTTAGCCGCCAAAACCGGCTACTGGACTGGTATAACTATCGTCTGTCTTCCCCACAACCTCAAGAGGTTATACAGCACCTTGACGAGATCTTTACCGACCAGTCAACCGTGTTTAAACTTAATGTCTCCTTTGGTTTCATTCTGAGAAACAACGAGACCGGTGCACTACAATATTACTATGCCTCCAGAAATAACGAGCAAGTCTTTGAGGCGCCCTTTCAAATCACAACTGCAGCCGATCTTCCACATGTCCGTGAAGCATTGCAGAATCTCGATGTCCTAGAATGGGTACGCCAACGTCGCCCCAACTCCAAATGGGCCGTAGAACACGTGACCAATATCACTTTCTTCGTCACCAAGCTACGAGGCCATCCGATAGGGAGAGGTCAAAGTCTGCCTCACTACATCGTGGAAAATCGCGGTATTGATGCCTTAGATCGAAACCGACAGACTGGTAAACCATACAAAGACAATCTCTGTTTCTTCCGGGCCTTGGCTGTTCACAATGGTTGTCATCCGAAAAATCTGGAGCGGGATGCCAAGCATTACTATGGGAAATATCGAGAATTTTTTCCTGAGAAAAAGAAATTTTGTGGTGTAAAGCTGAAAGAACTGATAGACCTAGAACACCTATATGAAGTCAATATCTTTGTCTATTCCCTCGAGCCCACCAAACAAGATGGAGAAGAAAATGAAGACGATGAACCCAATGATACCAAGCCAGAGATTGCCGCTGAGCTGATCCATCGATCTCTTTGCCACTATCTAAGTACCCTCTACCTTAACCTTTACCAGCGCCATTTCTCCTACATTAAAGATTTGAAGAAATACACCAAGTCTTACTGCTGCTCTCGATTTGGGAAATTCTGGAAACATGTGGGTATGTTACATCGTCACGAGAGAACCTGCGAGGCTAAAGTCCATTACACGTTCCCTGGCGGTGCGTACAAGACGCCACCCACCATCTTTGAGCTGCTCGAAGATGAAGGCTTCACCATTCCACCACATTTAAAGTACTTTCCATACAGAGCCACCTTTGACTTCGAATGCATGTTTAATCGTCAGACTGGCCTAAATAACACCGAAAAACTCACCTGGAACGCCAAGCATATCCCCCTCAGCGTGAGTGTCTGCTCTAATGTCCCAGACTACGACCACCCCAAGTGTTTTGTGTCAACTGGGGACTCCAAACACCTCGTCAAAGAGATGATAGACTACCTAGTGGAAATCAGTCAAAAGAGCTGCGACCTGATGAAGCAAGAGTTTTCATTCCTATTTGAAGCGATAGACCAAAAGCTAGAAGAAATAAAACAAAAGTCAGAACAACAGACCGGAGAGAGTGGTACAGACGTTAGCGTCCAAGAAGATAGCGATGATGAAGGAGAAGATCTTATGGAGACCGATGATGAAGAAGAAGACATAGAATCTGAGACAGAAGAAGATCGTGCCTTCCTGGATGATGAAGTGGAAAGTGAGCAAGGTGCCTCGTTTTACCGAGCTTTAGATCGCGAACGCGAGAACCAGAGTGATGATGAAGAGTATGTGGACGATAAACCAGAAGCGAACCATCCTGAATCTCAGAAGAAAAAAGTCCACCCCTTAAAGAAGCTGAGAGAGAGATTCGAGGAATACCTGGAAGAACTCCCGGTTCTTGGTTTCAATTCTGGAAAATATGATTTGAATGCTGTGAAAGAATTTCTCTTCCCTGTCCTGGTCCAGAATGAGGAAGTACAGTTCACCATAAAACGTAACAACAATTTCATGTGCTTGAAGACCGACCACCCTCGCTTTCTCGATGTCACCAACTTTCTTGCTCCTGGGTTCAGCTATGCCAAATTCCTGAAAGCGTACGAATGTCCGCAAACCAAAGGTTTCTTCCCATACGAATGGATGGATTCGCTTGACAAGTTAGACCACCCTTCTCTTCCTCCTCACGACGCATTCTTCTCTACACTGAAAAACGAAAACATCACAGAGCAAGAGTACCAGTACTGCCAAGAAGTGTGGTCTGACAACAACATGCAGACATTTAAAGATTTTCTGATCTGGTATAACAACCTTGACGTCCAACCCTTCTGCGATGCCCTTGAAAAGATGTGCGCCTTTTGGAAAGACAAGAACATGGACATGCTGCGACAAGGAATCTCTATCCCCGGTGTCACCTTGACTTATCTGTTTACAACCCTGGAACCTGGCATTTTCTTTTCTCTCTTTGACGAGAAAAATAAAGATTTATACACCTTGTTCAAAAAAAATATGGTAGGAGGCCCCAGCATCATCTTCCACCGATATCATGAAAAAGACAAGACCAAGATCAGAGAGAGAGAGATAACAGATCAAGGCAAAGAAGTAAAAATGTGCCAGAAAGTAGTAGGATATGACGCCAACGCGCTCTATCTCTGGGCCATCATGCAAAACATGCCCACAGGATCTTTTACGAGACGACGCGAAGAAACCAACTTCAAAAAAGAAAGCTCCACCAAGATGGCCACCGAGTGGTTGGAATGGAAAGCTGAGGAAATGGGAGTTCGCATACGTCACCAGATGAACGACACGGAAAAACGCATAGGTGAAAGAAGGCTCCCAGTGGATGGTTTTCATGGTCCTTCACAAACAGTTTTCCAGTTCCACGGCTGTTGGTGGCATGGGCATAACTGCTACCTAACTAAAGGAAAGGAAATGAACGAAAAAAGAAAGAAACCAATGGCTGAGCTCAGGGAAGAAACTACAGCAAATTCAAAGTATATCAGAGATCAAGGCTACAATCTCGTGGAGATGTGGGAGTGCCAGTGGCGCCGAATGAAAAAAACTAACTCTGCAGTACAATATTTCATGAACAGAAAGTTTCACCGACCCCTTGACCACCACCAGACCCTGGATCAAAATCAGATCATAAAAGCTATCAGAGACGAGTCTCTCTTTGGTGTTGTCCAGTGTGACATCACAGTACCTGACCATCTGAAACCCAAGTTCTCCGAAATGTGTCCAATCTTCAAAAATACGCAGATTTCTAAAGAAGATATTGGTGAATACATGCAAACCTTTGCCGAGGAGCAACATATCATGCCTCAACCTCGTAGAAGTCTAATAGGTAGCTATTTTGGAGAAAAGATCTTGTTGGCCACACCGCTCATTAAATGGTACTTGGAGCACGGGTTAGAAGTCACCAGGATTTACCAAGTAGTCGAGTACACACCCGTTCCTTGTTTCCAGCCCTTTGGAGAAGCTGTCTCCGACGCCAGGCGTGCTGGGGATGTGGACCCGAACAAGGCTATTATCGCGGATACAATGAAATTAGTAAGTATGATTTCATTTGTACAAGCATTTTGCCACTTTTTTTCCTTATGCAAACCTTATTAATGTTCTGATACATTATTTATTAGGTCGGGAATTCCAGTTACGGGAAGACGATCACGGACCAAGAACGCCACAGAGAGGTTAAGTTCTGCGAAGAAACAAAGGCCTCACGGCTTATCAACACACCCTTCTTCAGACAGATTGACCGGATCGAAGACAACACTTATGAAGTCCAGTCTTGCAAGAAAACAGTCAAGTTGAATCTACCCATGCAAATCGGATTTTTTTGTTTATCAGTATGCTAAACTCAGAATGCTTCAGTTCTATTTTGATTTTCTTGACAAGTATTTAGATCGTAGTGATTTTCAGTATTGTGAAATGGATACAGACTCTGCCTATATCGCGATCGCGGGTCCATCAGTTGATAGTTAAGTCAAACCTGAGTTAAGGGCAGAATTTCAAAAGGATAAGTCTAACTGGTTCCCCAGAACCGATACACCAGAGACCAAAGCATATGATAAGCGAACACCAGGTCTTTTCAAAGAAGAATGGTCAGGGGAAGGAATAATCGGTCTCAGTAGTAAAACCTATTATTGCTTTGGTTCCTACGATAAGTTTAGTTGCAAAGGAGTAAACAAAACATGTAATGATATCAATAAAGAAAAATATCTTAATGTTCTACTGACCAAACAAAGCAGTTCAGGACTTAACAAGGGTTTCCGTGTAGTTAATAACAGTATGTATACATACGAACAAGTTCGTGATGGTTTTTCCTACTTTTACCCCAAAAGAAAAGTATTGGACGATGGGGTAACCACCATTCCATTAGACATTTAACGCTGTTTTGTAAATAATTTCTTGTACATAGATTAGTTTTGTTCTTGGAACTGAAAATTTGTATGGAATTTCATTACTCACAAAGAGTTTCCAAACATTGTAGTGTGTGACTTGTAAATAAAACTAAGTTGGCTGAAAAAAAAAAATGACTTGTTTCCTGACTCGACGCGCACGGCTTACACGCGAGATCTCCTCGCGCGCCCAGGGAAAAAAAACAAAGGGCTAAAAAGGTGCCCTTTCTGCCCTTTCTGTCCGATCTGCCCTTGAAAATCAACAATAAATTTCGTGTCGCAAATAGTTTTACTCAGTTGGTATCTAACGTTCGTCCTGTCAGCATGAAGAAACTAAAATGTAAACACTGCCCCATACCGGGATGTCATTCTAAATTTTTAGTTCGATTAGCAAATCATTTAACTCAAGTCCACGAGCTGTCTCACTTAGAGAGAAAATATTGGCTCCAGTTTGCTAAATTACAAAATACCACCATGGTTCGTGTATATGATAAAGATACTCCACCAAAGACCATTTCTCTATAAATAAGAGCAAACGCAGTTGAACCAGTCAGTTGTCAACATGGATCCAAGGTGGAAACACCCCTTTCCTACTATTGTAGCTGGCCCCACTTGTTGTGGAAAAAGTCAGTTTGTCAAACACTTGTTGGAATCTGGAGAAGAATTAATAGACGGAGCTCCTGAAAATATCATTTGGTGTTATGGGATATACCAACCGGCTTACGATGAAATGCTTAAAACTATTCCGAACATTACGTTTGTTGAAGGAGTGCCTGGTGATCTGGAAACCCTAATTAATCCCTCTATGCGGAATTTAGTCGTCATTGATGACTTAATGCACGAGCTTAGCAATGATCAGCGAATGACTAATTTGTTTACCAAAGGCTGTCACCATCGCAATCTCAGCGTGATCTTTATTCTCCAAAACATGTTTCACCGGGGAAAAGAACTGAGAGACATGAGCTTGAATTCGCATTACCTAGTGGTGTTCAAAAGCCCGCGTGATAGTAGTCAAGTCAATCATTTAGCAAGACAAATGTTTCCCGGTCATGTCAAATACGTGCAAGAAGCGTTTGAGGATGCAACGAAAAGGCCCTATGGTTATTTATTTTGCGATCTTAAACCGGAAACACCCACCGACTTCCGGCTGCGTACGAATATTTTCCCCGGGGAGACTCAGTACGCTTACGTCAGAAAAGTATAAAAAGCGTGAACCACATCACATTTCTTCAGTTGAGGATGGCACAGCGACTGAGAAAGAACCACGATTTTCTGAAGCTGCTTGTCAAGTGTACCCCAGCTCAGCGTAAAGCCATTTTGAAGGTGGCAGACGACGCTTTAGTAAGAACCATTTGTGAGTGTGTTTTAAACGTGCTTAAAGGAACAGTACCAGTCAGTAAGCCAGCCAAGAAAAAGCTTTTGCCTCACAAGAAATCTTTGATCGCTTTAGCCAAAAAAAGTACACCACTCGATAAGAAAAAGGAATTGTTGGTACAACACGGAGGAAATTTTTTAAGTGTTTTGCTACCTCCCGTTCTCCGTGTGTTAAGTTCGATTCTTACCTAAAATGAATCACACAAAGCGTATGGTTCTCGTGCCCGAGAACACCTTGGAAAGATTACAACAACGCCAGCAGATACTAACCCCACCCGTCACACAAACTCTGAGAAACTTGGATAGTGAAATGACCGATATTTTATCCAGTAAAGAACTTGATGATGAACAAAAAGCCAGGCTTTACAATCAAGTGTTGCAGCGGTACTTGACTTATTACGATCAGCGAAAAGGTCAACCTCTTCATGTGAAAATATCAACCCCCAAAGCAGTAGAAACACTTAAACCAGAAGAAAATGAAAAACCTTCGGAAGAACCTGTCCCGGAAAAATTCACTTCATCAGCCGTAGAGGCAGAGGTCATGAAAAGTGTACCCAAAATTTACAAAGCCGGGGCTAGACAATTGTTGGATAAAATTAAAGAGCATCAAGATGTCTTACATTGGAATGATAAAGGAGAGCTTTTGTATGAAACCAAACCCATTCCAGGTTCTCATCTGGTGGACCTAGTCAACAACACATTGCGCCACCGCAAAGGATTTGAACCAGTGGGGTGGTCCGTGTTTGCGAGGGGTCTGGCCCGAATGAATGTCCCGGAAAATCTAGTGCGTAATCCACAGAGGCAAAGTGCTGTTCGAGAACTTAAAGCAAGGGTGAGAGACGAAACCCCTAACAGTCCTTCCCGTTGGCTACCTAGCCCACCTGTGACGGTATCCCCCGTGAAAAAACAGCGGCGAAGAAATGCGAGTCCGCGCCCTGAGGCTGTGCGCTGGTTACGGTTATAAAATCACCACAAGAGACATTATTATTATTATTATTTTTATTGTAAATCATCTCTTTATTTTGTTCACTCAATAAAAGATGTTGAAAAAAATTACAAGGTGTTTATTTATTGAACTTTGTGCTGGGCTTGTGCTCTTTGCTTGCTTACATCAGTGCGATATTTCGGAAGACTTATAGGGAAATGTTTTTCAATAAATCGCTTGACAAGACTATCATTTTTACGTGTGTTATTAGAAAAACGATGCACAATTGTACTCATACTTATTTGTCGACTACGATATAAAGCAAAATACAAACAGTAATGTCCGCAGACTTTTGAATAGATGCTTTGTAATGTCACAGTATTAAAAGTCCACTGGTTAGAATTGTTGTTTAAAAAGGTAGTAAATGTTCCTGAGTATTTGCTGGGTGGTGATCCGTAAGAATCGAAAAATTCTCCCTCTTGCTCCTTGGTGAAATAAAACGCCACCCAATGCGAACCTGGCTTGTCACTCGTGTCCACATTGGCGATAAACAGGGCTGGGTAATGTGAAAAACTTGCAGGAAGCAGGTCTGAGGGATACACGCCCTGAAACACACCTCGTGTAAATTTATCCTTTCTCAAAATAAGGGTCAGTTGAGTAGTGTCCATTTTTAGTTTGTGTAGTCGAACAACACGTTGCGGTTCCCGTCAATCTCAATCACGTTTTGGAATTCAGCGTACACGATAAGGTTAACCGTATTGGCCAGTGGTTCCTTGAAATGAAGCTCAGCGCGCAGGTTACCTTGCTTTATTAGCTCAAAATGGTCACGTGAGCAGTGGTCTGGGGACAAGTCAAAGCAGAATGCTGTGTAACCAGAGCCATAATCGCTTCTACTGATCTGATTACCCGCATCTTGGGATAGCTTTCCAGTACCTGAGAACAGACTTTGATAGCCCGCTATTACATTGTGACCTCCAGCTTCGTCAAAATTCAAGAACAGGGGTTTCCGAGGAATTTGCTCTCCGTCCACATAGACACCCACTTGAGTTAGATTGTGGTGTTTGAAGTTGAACGGGTTGGTACTGTAAGTTCCATTATATGCCTGAGTATCCACTAAGACCAGCACGATTCGTTTGGGGATATGACCCAAAAAGATGTTGTCGGGGTTAAAACTGCTAAATCCTCTTGGAATAGACAGCACTTTACAATCTATTCGGCGAACCGGGTACTTGGCGCTGGAGTGTTTTAGTGCAGCAGCATGGCCAAGTATAATAGAAGAGGCCAATTTCACCTTGCGAACGAACAAGATGGCTTCTGTGATTACCACCTTGAAAGTTGGAGCGGCTGCTGATGACATCAGACAAAACGAGTTCTTGGCTCGGTTCAGTTTGATTCTTAAATTCACTCCATTTAGCATCAACCGGTCTTGAAAGAAAACGTCGCTATAAATGGGCCCCATCATATCTACAATATGACTTTCTTTAGTGAAATCATAGCGAACCTTTAACCCCTTGTTTGTTTGCATCATCGTCTGCAGCCACAGGGTTGGCAACATCCATTTTCCAGGGGTATCTTTGTAAAACATGGCCATAGAAAGTTGACTTGTCTTTGCTTCTTCTCCGTAGTTTAGCAAGGTTTCGATCATGGCGCGATAAGGGTAGGTATTGGTGGATGGAGAGATCAATCGCTCGTTCAAGGAAACGTCCACTTGCGAAAAAAGGGAATGTGAAAACAGGTTCACGGGACCTACTTGTGTATCGGCATCTATGGCGGTTCCATTTGCTTTTGTGATCTTGGCTTTCACAAATAACTGAGTACGTGCCAAGTCCAAATACTCATCTCCGGTTCCCGAAACATAAAATTCGATCGGACCACTGTCCGTGATGTTACTGATGGGGTGGTACTCGATCCATTGCCCTTTGGTGATAGAGGTTTGTGTTGCAGGAATCGTAAAGAGATCCAACTCTGATTTCGTACATTCCTGAGACTCGTGATGCACAAAGGCCATAGTTACTTCCAGAAAGAAAATTCCTCCTCGGCTTCTTTTGCTGCGGAGATGTTTTTGCCTTCTTGGCTGGAGGCGAAGTGATCTTGGTTCCTTTCGCTTTTCTTTTTATAGATTTTTTGCCAGCTCCTGATTGTCCCTGCAATGAATTCT